TCTTTTCAGTGAGTGGAGGAAAACCGGCTGGGTACTGGACTTATTTCGAGTATTTTTACGCCCAAGTATTGATCTCAAAATCCCGGCTGCTTTCTGTTGGCCTGGGAATTTCCTCCTGATGACCGTAACGCTTGATCTCAACAATCGCGGCTGCTCTCTGTTGGCCTGGGAATTCCCCCCTGATTCTTCTGTGGTTCCCAGACAAAATGCAGACCTTCCATAAGAAAGAGTTGGCCTCTAAAATGCCGACCGAGCCCCTGTTTGGGGTTAGAGTTCGGATTTAGAGTCAGAGTTTTTAGCCGGTTTCATGCCCCTGCCAAAGCAGAGAATCTCATGTTTAGAAGTACCAGAATTGCATTGAGTGTAAATCAACTGGCTGCCGGTTGAAGGGACAAGATGCGGCACTGTAGTTGTGCGGGTGAGAGGCTGCAACTTTTTGTCCATTTTTTTCCTTCGTGGATATTTTCGGCCTGTGACGGGTGTGGGGGCATGGCTTACATGCGTCCCCCTGGGTTCCGTGTTGCACAGCCGAACCTACCATCCGGCGGTCCAACTGAAGGGAACGACTTCCGTAGGAGGTCCAAACCAACTACCCACAAATAGGGGGGTAAGAGCACACACACTTCGCATAGACAAAGAGAACAAACAATAAAACGCACCCAGATCATCGCAAGCGTGATATTACCAGAAAATACATACTTCGGAAAAAGTGCTTCGAACTTTTATTAGACTACAGACCATAGCAGCAGTCAGTAGTACTGGTACAGTATTACGGAGGCACACAATGGTCAGGACCAAGACAATCAAAAGGGCCTAGTTTCCACTCTTGCAGTATCATCTTCAGTAGATTATATGATAGCTCGAATTGACGGCACGGCTTTCAAACTTCGAATGCCAAAATCCGAATGAAAAACAACGTAGCGGCTACAAAGAAAGTTAGTTACACTCCATACACGCTTTTTATTTGGCTCCAGTTTGGTCCTGACTATTAATTGCCTCCGAAATAGCTGGCGCCCGAGATTATGAAGCGTAACTTAAGTCTTGTCCAGCCTCAAATTCTTATGGTGGTCTGAAAATTCGGCGTGCGTGTTCGTTGTTCAATTTCTTATGTCAAGCTTATTCTTTTTTTGTGCTGCCGAATCCTCCTGAATTCCTTAAATCGGTACGTTCTTAGTAAATAACTGCCTCGCGCTGCTTTACTCGCCTCTACACTGGCTCTCACCACCGCGACTGCACATACAAAGGGTGTTGAGAAGCACGACAGCCACCAGACTACCAGTCAGCGCTGGCTCGGGAGGACGGTAGTCCAGTGGTTGTCGTGCTTCTAAAAAATACTTAGTGCCCGAGTCCGTCAAGCTTTCTTTCAAGCCACGAACACGTCCCCTCAGGGTTGCCATCCCTGCCATCAACGCTGTGCTTGCCAGATCCATACAAGCAGGTTATTCTCTTCGAAAAGTAATGCCCACTGCTGTCGCAGACACGGAGTGCGACGTAGCAGGCTATGAAGGTTATTTGAAATCCAGCGGCCTAAGCGTCGACGCACCCAAGCTCGGCTTATGTTCGTAGCACCTCCCAACCGGGTAATGCTGACTGTTAATAAGCCGATGAGTGATAATGAGATCGCGTATTATCGGTAACAAACCCTAACAAGGCAGGAACAAGGAGAGTGATCTCGGAGAGAGCACACAAAGCTCAGCCACTGGAATAATCGACCGTCCAACCAACACGAAACCGCCAATGCTAAAGAGTGACACCAACAGTTTATCTGTATCTGCGACGCCTGCGTCAAATACGGGACCAAACCAAGCTCATCGCGGGCTCCCTCAGAATGTTGTGCACGGGTGAATACAAAACAAGGCCGCGATGAGAGTCGAGGAAACACCACGACATCACCGAAGAAGACTCTCACACCCTCATGCCGTACCCCCGTCACATATCTCCCGGCTCCCCCACTCAAGTTTGTGTGCTTGGAAAAGGCCGCAAAGTCCATATCCCTTACTACCACGCTGCAACCCTCCCCCCGACACCGGCTGGAAAAAGGAACGCCCCGGGGTGTCGATCCCGTCTCCGGACGAAAGCAGGGCAGTGCTCGTCAAGAACGGTCGTCAGAACTGGGACCTTCAGCATGAGCTCCTTCCCGGGGCGATACCCTTGGGCACCCAGCGGTCGCGGATTCCCGGCAGGTGGTGGGTGGGAATTGAATCCGTGTTATGTCAGCCGAGTGTGTTGCCCTTGTGGGAAATGTATGCGTAGGCATAACGCAGGCCGGTCGCTGCCCCCCCCCCGTCGTGGAGGGGAGAGGCCCGTCAAGTCGATTGATACGGAGATGATGCGTCTACGGAAAGCTCTCGACGAAGTATTTCCTAAACCATCCTTGTCGGCGGTGGTCGCCTCTTGGTTGTGGAGTATTCGAGCCCCTGAAGTCTTTGCTAAGGGAGATGCGCGCACTTACGTAATTGGGTTGGTTCGAACCCCATCTATAGTCACGTAAAGTGTTCGAAATAAGGCACCCACCCTTAGAACAATATTTAATCACAGAGGGCGAAGCACGCCAACCTTTTTCAGTCCAGCGCTTTTCATGTCTGCCGGATCCTTCCTACGCTGCCAATCTCTTGTCACACGGTCGCACACACAGTCGAAAATATACACACCACGTGTGTGCGACCACGCAGCGTCAACCCTCCGCTGCCCCCCTCCCTCTCTGTCGTTCAACAATTTTGCGCGGCAGTGTGAGCCTGGTGGACATAACTTCGCAACTCGAGACGACGGCACCGGAGCTGTTGCCGCTTTGGGTTAGGCACGGCCATCAAGTGCCCCAAGAGCTCGCCCTTGATCTCAATTTGGGAGGGGTGAGTGGGGCTCACTTCTTTCGTCTTCCGGTCCGGGGATCGGATTTTTGCCCCAAAGAATCAGCTCTTCAGCTCTCATCAAGAAACGATTTTCAGACCAGATCGTGTACGGCTGTTACCCCCCGCCTCCCCAATGAATGCTGAATAACACCACATGCCGTTTTCATCGCCGCCCTGTGATACTTGTGACATAGCAGAAGAAGGAAAATAAGAGTTGAAGATCCCAAGAGATCGAATCAAATGCTCTTTTGACACACCTTGCTCTTCCCCGAACCCCCACTGAATCATGAACACCGCTCTGAGCGATTTTTTCGCGAAAAATCCTAGAAAGAATGTCATGGGAGGATGTGGTATCATTGCGTCACCCGAGACTCGTCCACGAAATATCGACCCAACAACTCAATAAAGCTTTTTACGTCGGGGTGCATTATCCTCCCGGGGCATCTTGCCTAGAAAAGCCCGGTCCCGAGAAAAAGTGACCCGTGCTGTACCCTCGCGAGTGACAGCTGCGGGAAAGTCGCGGCGGTTTAGGCAAAAACACGTGTTGTGTGTCCGGGTGTTTTAGGGGTCGCGTATCTCACCTGTAGACCGAACTACTCCAGGACGCGGTATCTAGGTTTACGGGAGCGCTCCGACAGTGATGGGTTATCGAGCGATGGTACAGTAGTAGGGGGGTGCCCTTTAAGGGTGAAATCTTACTCTTTTTCGGAGAAAAACGTTTCGTTTTGTTTGGGCGATCCTACATCGGTACGTTGCTCCCACAGGCTTGACTAGAGTGTGTCTGCCTACCCGAACGTAACAATGAGGTGATGACCCCTCGACCGTAGCAGCACGTTCTTGTCTTGTTGAAGGAAGCATCTCCGCGCGCCTCTCGCTTTCCATATTTCTTGTTATCTGACAGACGTTTTTCTTTCGTATCCTTCCAGACGGTGGCACGAGTAAAGCTCGGCGAAGCTCTGGACCACGCTTCGCTGGCTGAGGCCTGCAAGAAGGTGGGGGCCACGCACTTTCACGGTGAAAGATAGGGCCTGGGCAGGGGCCACGGACAAAAATCTACATCCGCTTCTCATTCAATTTTTCCTTCAACCTGGTTTTTCCATACTAGCAAAACTACCCTAATATTTAAGAGTACGCCGCGTGTCTGGACGCATGCACTTCCAGCGGAATAAACGTAGAAATATGGACGGTAATTCAAGGACAAGTTTTTCACAAAGTATCAAATATGACGAGCCTCGTACACAACATGTACCTCGCACGGGTCTGAACTTACTTCGGAAAGGTCCTGGAAAAGGTTCGTCAATATCCTACTTTAGTAACTGTATTCCGGCAGCAAAGCCACAGGTCCACTAACGGGCAGTTGAAAAAAATAAACGATAGTTGGAAAATTTTTCCACTAGATCATTCTCCGACGCCGCGGATGCTGTGCAGTAATCATGCACGGCACTGGGCGAGGCGGAGAAACGCGGTGTCAAGGTACTGCCCTACTTAGTACTGGCGCCTTGTGCTCCACTGATTCGCGACCCTGAACTGCTTGGGTCGCAGGCGTTGAAAAGGGGCTCTGGGTGTGCGACTATTGCCCAGGGTGTACCTGTCGCGCTCTTAAGGCGCATCGGAATCGTGCGCCGTCTCGCCGTGTCTGGTTCTGCAGACCAAACTGTTGTTCTGTTGTTGTCGCCCAGCCCCCCTTCGCAGAAGAAGCGAACCCACCCCCCCTAGAGTACGTGAGTTTTTCTTCTCTGCTAGATGCAAGTCCGGCCCGGGACCAAACGGAAGGGGTTGCCCCTCACAGAAATGCCGACGTAACCGCCCCGGCGACCCGCCCGTAACCCGAAAAACAAGCTTCTGCGTTCGCTACCCGATGCCTTCGTTTTTCATTCAAGACAAACAACCAGACTGGAGTTGTGAGCAACCCACGTCACCTCCATCCACTGGGTATCAGACGTAGATGATGAGTATGCTATGTTCGTAGTTAGGGGATAGACAATACGGTGTTTTTGTGTGCCACCACGCTGCTACTGCCGTACACAGTAACTTTTCCCCGCGTTCTGCGATTCTCGAACTCCCTCGACTTCCCACGATCGACGAGCGCACGGCGCTCGGCAAGAGTTTTAATATTGTAAATATTTGTGATCTTCGCGCGCATGATAGGCGATGTTGGGGTTACCGGAGGAGGCAGCGAGCACCCTGGAGTCTCTTCTCTGCCTCCAGCTTAGGCTTTCCTACCTCTCCACGCAGACTCCGAAGGCGCTGAGGGAGTACACTCACTCGAGGGTAAGACGCAGACAGGGCAGTTCTGCAATCGATGGGCACGCGAGCGCCGAACGTCTTGCAGGCCCATGTTACTGTAGGCGCCAATGCCTTGCTGATCCAAGTAGTTCAACAGACTCATGGGGTTTTGCTAATTCTCTGTGTAGATGTCGGAACAGGTTTGGGGAGGGTGTGTCTAGACGGCAGACACCAGACAAGTACAACTGCTTCGTTTTACTCTTAGCTGTGTTGTGGTTTTCGCGCCTTTGCCTGTTCTTGGGGGGGTTAAAAAAACAAATGCTGAGTTTCGAGACGAGGGGTACCGGGCGAAAGTCCCCAGGCATTTTGTCGGCTCCTCACTTTCTCCTCCGTATCATAGCCTAACCGTTTTACAGCTGTGGTTTAGCATGCAATATTGTGAGGTACGCCCTCTCTCCCGGCCCCTCCTTGAAACCCGATGACGCGGTCGGCGAAGTCCCTTCCCGAAAACGTCGGAAGGTGCTGTTGATGGTAGGCCAGGTGCCAAAGGGCAGTGTTTACAACATGGCCCGAGTGGTGCGCGTGCGGGGGCACAGTAATTGCTTGTCCCCATGCCGCAGATGGGAGAGTCGCCGTTACGTTTGCCTGCATCGGGCAGAACGCATGCTTTTGCCCGCTCCATTGAAGCATGACTGCCGTGGCCCAAGCTACCCCGAGGGCATAAGAGCGGTGCTGCTGCACCCCATGCGCCGAACGCCTCCAGACGCGCACCTGTACATAAGGTCACGCGATCACCCTCCCTTCAGCTTTGTACAGGATAGCTCGGATCAGTATCAATCAGAGGGCGGTGGGGGCACGACGTCTGCTGTACCTACTTTCGGCCGTTCTGCATCACCTCTCCCCCCCCCCTCCCACTCCCAGGATGCTGGGGGAATCACCCGTCGTGCAGAGGCGGCTCTCCTGGCCCGAATCTCGTCGGAGTACTCTTTCCCGCGGGCACTAAACTCAGCCGCTGCCAGCGCCCCCGGAGCCGCTGACGCTGCAGCTGACGCTGCCAGCAGTGCGATTTTGCCCCTCCTGGCGGAGCACCTGGAGCTGGATCTCGCCAAGAAGGACCCGGAAGCTTGGAAGGCGGTGCGGGCGGTCTTCGAGCGGGCGCACCCGTGGGCGGTGAGGTCCCAACACGTTGTTTTTCACCGAGAAATCAACCACGCCCCCACCCCCCCCTACCATTTTTGTTTCTTTACCCTTTTGGTGCCTGAGGGGGTAATGAAGGCTACCGCCGGCGTTGGATCTATCATTTCTTCGTGATGTCTTCGTCAACCCACGACAGAAGAGGCAACGACATTGGCTGTCGTTTTGGACACTTCCCCCCCCCCCCGAGAACCCCCCCGCCGCACAGTTGATGTCCACAGGGCACACCAAGGCCTTGAACCTTGACCTCTATGAACCTTTCGCGCTACGGTATGTTTATCACGGAGACGACGCTTCCTACTGATACCGACAGCGATGCCGGCAGGGAAAAAATAAAAAATGACAACTGACAGCGATGTCGTTTGTACATTTTTGTTGGCGAGGAGGGGTGTTTCTCTAGTGTGCGAACCACGCGCGCCGCGAGCGGCAGCGTGCGTTGTGGCCGAAAATTTCGTCGACTTTCTGCGGTTGGCTATGTATTCTACCGCATCAACACTATCTCGAACATACTTGATCTTCTAGTGCTCGATTTCCGAACTCATTACACGCTCTTGAAGTGAGACATTACGCATGGAAAATGTACAAAACGCATAGCGACCCTCACCACCGCGTTTTGTATCTCGAGTACATCACGAAAGCCCGATCAAAGTCGACACCAAACGTTTTCTTCGTGACCCCCGACGAGCGGGCGGTGTTGCTAAAACGACGTTTCGACGGTTACACCACGATGATAGTGTTGACGACGAAGTTGGCGAATGTTGGCCATGATGATGACGTCCCGACTAACCCCACCTACCCGTAAACATCACGATGATGTTCACGAGGAAGGTGGTCACGATGACGACGACGTCTCAACTCAAAAACTCTATCACAGAACCTATCTCTCGACCCCCCAAAAAAACACTTTTGTCGCAACAGGTCCGGACGGAATGTCTCTTGGTGGAAGGGTGCGACGACCGCATCACCGTGCCCTACGAGGCCGGCAGGATCACCAACAAGTACCACTGCTCGCCGGTGCCTACCCCGGAGGTGGTCAGCCGCTCCTCCTGCACGAGTAGCTCGTCCAGCCGGTACGTACGCGCATGCATGCATGTGGCTTTGTCGTGGCATGAAAATCTTGTATGTACGGAAGGTGCGATACCTTGATATGGGTTTGTCGCAATCATCACGAATATTTTCTTCTCTCATCGTCCCGTTGGATGGGTAACTCGGGAGTTTTACCGAAAGTGCGCAACAACAAGCGGGTACAAACTGGCCGGTCGTGTGGGGTAGGGGGACATCGTGTCTCTCCCCCGGCAGTACGGCGCAATCAATAGTTGGTGGTAGGTATCGCCTCTATTGGACGACTTTGTCCACATCGCGCAATGCGGTTAGGACGGTCGTGCTCGCTCAGTTGCGTGCTTTGCAGTGTGTAGCTGTCATTTTCTCTCTCCTACCTTGTTTTAACACGATTGGTTCTGTCTGTGCCTTTTTTCTCTCTCCTGATGCAGGAGAGCATTCGGCAGCGCCGACGACGCGCGGCACGATTTACTCTTGACGTGGGCGCTCAAGAAAGGGGTCGGGCGGGACCAGACGCGAGACGACTCCACGCGAGAGCTCTACGATGACGGGGGTTTCACGAACCGAATGAGTGACGTCCGAAGGCGCTTGCTAGACGTGCTGGGCATGGACCGAAAAACGGTGGAGGTATGTAGCACACACGGCAGCAGCTACCCTTGGTAGTTGTGTGTCCTTGTTCGATATGAGTGTCATCGGCCGCGCCAACCGGCCGGGCGATGAAAATACTTCAAGCCTGAGCGGGGATAATGACCCAAAATCGTCCGCGTAACGGGGCGTGACAACACACAGAAGAGCCAAAGAGTCGAATATGAGCAGCTTATTAAGCTGCATACATGCGAGAGGGTGTCATTTCCCATCGGGCCCACCGGTCGAAAGTCTAGTCCACGCGTTCTGCTAGCATCTCCCTGTCTCTCTGATGTGAGTGTGGTCGTCTCCAGAGCCTCCTTCCCTCCGTCGCGTTGGTGCTGCAGGCACCGATCCCCTGGCCGGTCGCGGGAGGAGGTCGTCCTGCCCGCTGATACACACAAAATACCCTTGCACGCCAAGGGAACGGCTTCCGCGACCCTTCACGTGTCACATCCCCGAACGTACACTTTGTCGGTGCCATTCGTCACCTTGGGCACGACATTCAGGCGGAAAGGAAAACAAAATCTAATCGTGCTGTTGGCGCCCGATCCGCCGTTTTTGTTGTTTGTTGTTGTTTTTGGTTCTACTCTCGCCGCAGGTGTTTCTCACTCCGTCTGGATCGGACGCGGAGTTCTTGCCGACAGCTCTTGCGTGTGTCAGGGCGAGACGCCTGGGCCACAAGGTGCCTGCCACTTTGGTAAACCTAGTTCAACTGTAGTAGTGTTGTTGTTGCCGCTGCTGCTGTTGTTGTTTTCATTCTATTTTAGAAATACTTTGACCTTCGTCTATAGTTACAGGCTATGTGTAGTGTTAGTTTTGCTTTATCGTTGTCCCATCAATGTATGTAGCCTCTGCCTGCAATATAATGTAGACAAGGATATTCTTCGTAGCGTGCGCGGCTAGCCAGTAAGCAGTTTCAATGTGTCAAGGAGAGCTAGCATAGAGACAGCATCAGAACGAAGAGTGCCCGCTGGCGCCCGCGTTTGTGTATTGGTTGCCTGCAGACACTGACACGCAACTAAAAACGGGCCGCGGAGAAATACACGAGTTACTATCTACAATTTCTCGGCCGATCTTTGAACAAATAACGAATATGCGGGCGTGAGGTCCCGTGGGGGTTGTCAAGGCATTTGCTCAACAGAAGGAATCGACTTGGAACTTGCGCCCCCCGGAGTTTGCGTGGCGTACCGACTAACAGGAGCGACGACAGAGACTCTAAAAGAAAATCCGCACTGAACGAAAGCCTACGTACCCATCGCCCACGAACAACATACACACTCCCCCCGCCGACCGACCGGTTTCTTTTGTTCTCTAAAGGCGGCCGACGGGCCGGCGGTGACGTCGATCGTTGTGGCCGCCGGCGAGGTGGGGAGCGGAACAGCCGGGGCGGCCGGAGGCAAACACTTCAGCAAGCTCACCCCCAGGGGTACCCCCGGCCGTCCCGAGAACCACGTGAGAGACAGGCAGGCCACGATGCTGTTGGCTTTTGTTTTTTCTCGGGTGATTATGGTCTAATCCGGACCTTATGTACCGGTGGTCACAAACCAGCTCCTCTTTTGTGTGACTGCCCACGGCGCAATTTTCTTTGCGTCCAGTGCGCCACTGGAACGTGGTGCTTCGCTGCGATTATCGTCTTGTTTGGACTCAAATTTGTTCTTTCTCTCACTCCTCTGTCTATCCTCTTTTCGCTGTCGTGGTGTTCAACTAGTACACATCATGAATTTCCTAGCCTATCCGGTAAAGAGGGCATTGCGATGTGATATTTATTAGCCAGGCGGACGTTCACAGACCTAGGTATTATTGACCACGTAATTATCGGTTGAGCCTTGCGCAACATGCTGAAGATGGCGAGTGTGTCTCTCGTTGGCTTGACACACACGGCGGTGATGTAATCGGAACGATCTACCAACGCGTTAGCTAACCACAATGGATATATCTCGTACGCGCCTGCGACTACCCCGAGCGCAGGTGGAGGGTATGCCAGCGGGCGACGTAGTCGTGGTCCAGATGAAGACCCGCTCCAAGAGCGGCGCCTTCCTTCCCTGCGAAGACCTTGTGCGCAGGTGTGCCTTTGTGTATCTTTTGATTTAGATGGACACCCCGCTAGCCAGCTTTTTCGGCTGCTTTTCGCGTCCGATTGCGCCGGCCGACAGTGAGACGGCGTCCGTCTTAACGGGGAACGAGACGAACGCCAGTTCTAATCCGCGAGCGCCCCCTAGACATTTTTTTGCGTGAGGGTGATTATTTTTGTTTCTGTTTGCACCGTGGTCTTCATCCCGTCGACGATGGGCTTCGCTTGTCCTTTTGTCTTCGGGGGCAACGGTGGTTGATTTTTTGGGGCCAGCGACGAGGTCCCACACATTTGCTGAAAACCGTTCGCAGCGGGCCCAGACTCTATCGTCGTACGGAAACCTGAACCTGATCCCAGCTCGAACCCTGCATGACGGACGAAAGCGATTCCCTAGTCCCCTCCCCCCTCATGATTCCTCGCCTTTTTGCTCTCTGGAACACGTCTCCTCACATCTCCCGGTTTCCTTCCCTCCCGTGTGCATACCCGGTGCTCGAAGCTCATCGCCGGGAGTCAAATCTCACGAGTTGCCTCCCCCCCCCCTCGTCCGCACACCTTCCACTGCATACACCAAACAAAGGTGTTGCACACAAGGCTATGCCCGCGCCTAACCCCACCAAACACTCCTACCCCTCACCCGTCACCACACAAAAAGCGCCGTGCACAAGGCCTTGTCGTCTTGCCCGACGAGCGTCGTGGTGGTGCACTTCGTGGCTGGGTCGAAGACCGGCATCTGCTCCCCCTCCGAGAACGTGCTGGCTGAGATGCGACAACGGTACGGGGAGCGCCTGCTGGTGAGCGAAGCGAGTTGTCGGCGGCGGGGGAGGAGTGTGCCAACACTTGGAGGGGGGCGGTTGAGGTTTTCAAGATGCCTCTCTCTCTCTCTCTCTCCCTCTCTCTCTCTCTCTCTCTCCCTCTCTCTCGCTCTGTGTGCGCCGTGATCGATCAATTTGAGACTTCGAAATGAGCTCAGCATAGCCTTGAGGAGGGAGGGGGCACTGGGGCCAAATCCAGCCGTGAATCGACCGCAGAACTTTCTGTTCTTGTGCGCACGACAACAGGCTTTCGCCTCGCACATGCGGTTAGGCCATCTGGCTCTGTGCCGATATAGCTGGAAAAAGAGAGATCGAAAAATTTAGTGTCAGGAAGGCCCCGCCAGCCACACAGGAGGACATAGACACCCGTCAGATCCAGCACTGCCGTCATTGCCCTTACCCTAGCCCTCTATCCCTCTACCCAGGTTGTGGTGGACGCTTGCCAGCTGCGGTTGGAGGACCAGAACGTCCGCAAGTACGTGTCCCTCGGGTTCCTCACGCTGGTCACGGGCTCCAAGTTCTACTGCGGACCCCCATTCTGCGGCGCGGTGCTGTTCCCCCCCGAGGCCCTCGCCGAGCTCCAGGCCGGGCACGAGCACCTCCCCGCCGGGTTCGACGACTACTTCACGCGGCACGAGGTGCGGCGCGGTCGGTCAGCACAGGAGCTTTTACTTTTTCGCTCTGACAGCGTTTTGTTTGTGAAACGTGGTATTTCTTGTGGGTCGGCACACAGAGAGAAACCCGTTGTTGTTGAGGAGTACAATGATTTCGATAGAGTCTACCGCGTCTTGTACGGGTAACCCATGACATGGGACATGGGGTGTTCTCTTTTTTACGGTGCAGCTCTTTACCTCCCGTGTTCATTTTCCTGGCGCAGGTGGACTCCCGGTACTCGACTCTGCGCTCGCGCCTCCCGAGCTGGGAGAACCGAGGGCTTCTTCTGCGATGGACTAGCGCCCTGACCAACATGGAGGCCGTGAAGAGCATCCCCAAGAACCGGCTGAACGCCTTTGTCAGCAGGTAAGGAAAAACACAAACATTGTTAGTAGCTAGAAGGACTGTAGCGCAACTCCACCGTTCCCTTTGCCTGACACTAGAGGTGTTGGTTTCACGATTCGTATTTTTTCACGTTTGTTCTTCCATGGCTCGCTTTTCAAGGAGCCCATCGACGATCGGCAGTTGTCGTACTTTGAGGGTGGCGGCACGGTACAGTCGATCAGAGGAGGGTTTTTGACAGGGCGGTAATCTCCATGTACTAGCGCGCGCTGGCATGTTTCCCGTCTCTTTGAGGAGGTGGGAATCTGGCACCTACACATGGACGCTAGAATTAGCCGTTAAAATCGACAGCACATCGACCGTGGTCTGAACGCCAAAGCTATCCTTCAGCTCGGAACAACATGGGACTCGTTTGTCACTACTTGCTGTAGTGCTGTTTCGTGGAAGATTCATCAGATACCCAACTGCCTCAACTTCTTGTCCTAAGTTTTATCGAACAGACGCTTCTTCTCGCGGGCAAAGCAGCGTCCGACACAAAACCCCGCCTGTCGCCCAAGCCCCCCCTTCCCGGTGCCTCGCCCCGCTGCCTCCCAGCTGGGTGCAGGAGGTCCACGACAACGTGCAGGACAAGTGGCCCTACCTCAGCCTGCTGCCGGAGCAGCGGACCGGCGAGCCGAGCATCGCGGTGGGCGGGGTGAACACGGTGGTACCGATAGTGGTGCGGGTCCCGCGAACGTCGTCCGAAGGGTCCGACGGGAACCCCGAGGTGGCCCTTGGGTACGAGGTGAGAGAGTGGGGGCCGGCAACGCGCGCGCGCTTGATACGCTATACTTCTGACCCCAGGTTGGCCGAAAGAACAGAAAGGCATTGCGTTCTTCCGGTCAGCAAGAAAATTCCGCTTTGTTTTTCTTCCCTGTGTTAGACAACGAAACCTCTAAAAGCTCCGACGTCCGGAGATGAAAGTCACCTGTTGTTGGATTTCTGGCGGCGCCGTTTCTTGTCCGTCCGCGTCGTTACGTTTGCCGTCGCCGCCATCCAGGACCTCCGACTCTTCCACCGGCTGCTCTCCGAGGACATAGGCCGGTATCTGCCTCAAGGTGTGCTCCTCCCTCTGAAAATAGTGTCTATATCCCCGCCTTCCCTTCATGGTCTGCCCTTCCCCCCTCTCCAAACCAAAGTGACTGAACAAGTAGACTATCCATTGCGCATGCCCCTTGATGGAATTTCTGTTTTACACTGAAATATCCCTCTCCCCGAGGCTCTAGCATGCCGTAGAGGTGATGTTTGGTGTGAATAGGTTATCGCCTCCCTCGGCGAAGATAGACCAATCTATGGTAATTCCTTCGGCAGTTGCCATTCCTTGTTGTTGTTGTTCAACCCATGGCAATTATCTATCGAGATCAGAAACTCATCGCGAGTAGTGGGTACTACATGCGTTCGGGTGTTGAATGTGGAGTAAGCTAGGATCGGAACCACCTTGGGTACTTCCCCCCTCCAAGGGGCGTTGTTTCTCTTCTTTTCAGGTACTGCTTACCTCGTACTGAACCTCGAGGTAATAGTTTCTCGATAAATGATGGCGGTCGCTGACCGATGGGTGTCGAAGATGGTACACGCTTTTTTGGTCCACACCGCAGTGTTCCCCCCTGAAGGAGAGTACTCTCCGCGTACTCTTTTACCGCCTGGTGCAACCCTCTCCCGACAAAACGTTTTCCCGATCGGAGACGACGACCGCACACCGTCCGTGCCACGACACACCCACATCGACACGCCCGCTTCACATGCCACACATGTACATACCTCCACCCAGGCTCTACTCCCTCTGCCCCCCCCCCCCCCCCCCACCCCTGTTCCATTGGGGAAAATTGGGCGGGGGGGAACGGGCCCCGGCCCCCCTTTCCGTGGTGTTCCGCCCACCGGGCAAACTGGGGGGGGGGAACTTCCGCGTGATCCCCATCCCCCTCCGCGCCCAAATGCTGATGGACCCTTTTTGCCGCGGAAACCCCCCCC